TGTGTGTGTGTGTGTGTGTGTGTGTGTGTGTGTGTGTGTGTGTGTGTAACCTGCCCTTGTGAGGTGATGTTCAAAGGACATGGGATCATCCTCCTCATATTACTGTAATAACACATAGAATACACGGTTTAGGAAATGGTGAGGAAAATACACAAAGCTTTGTGAATGTAGTTGAACACTGAAGAGTTTTAAGAAAGAAAGGGATGTTAAACAATAGGAGTGGTCTAAAGTGTCATGTGCAGCTTCTGATGTGCACATGCACTAATGTGGGGTAAAAGCAGCCAGTGCGTAACTATCAGGTATGAATGCTTAAAACTTTTTTTAATATATATAGTTACTGTTTTAGAGAGAGTTTATTAATATTCTGTGTAGCATTTATGGGATTACATGGATCAGTTTCAAATTCAAGTGCAGCGTGAAAGTAAACCTAAAGTTGACCTGCTGAAATAAACATTTTAAAATATTGATTGTAACTGTGACAAATTTTCTTAAAAAGGACTGTTTTCTCTAATTTCAGAACAGGAACCCTCGATTAAAAATTTAAAAAAAAAAGTTTATCTTATTGGAATAATAAAAGCAACTCATGCTTTCATCCCTTCAGCACAACAATAAGCCGAAGCCTTTTAGCACAGAAGCAGATTTGAAATTTTAAAAATGTAGGCTAATCTTCGCCTCTCTTAAAGGGCTACTTTTCTGTTTTATTTTTAAAAAATTATTGCTTTGAAGAAAGCTTCCATGTGACGACTAATAAAGTTGTGATGTGAACAAATTTGGTGTTCAATGATGTCACGCAGGATTAGATGAAAGAATACCACCGGAGAGACATTACTGTACGTTCAAAAGAAGACATCAGAAATTACTACACTAAAATATGGTCTTTAAATTAAATTCAACATGATTTAAATTTTAGGTGAATGTGTTGGTTAGTTAAAGTAACAAGAACTTCAAATTAGAAATGACTCATTGGTCTCATTTGAAGCAGAAAGATTTGTATTCACTAATTATGTTAAATATGAGGCGCAGAAGATGACCGTTCATATTACCTTTAACAAGATTAGCACTTAAAAACAATTATTTGTTTGCTTGAAATTATAGTAAAGGTGCGTCTCAGTTTAACGTGTCCTTAATAAATGCACTTTGACGGTCAAATCAGCTGCATTTCAAAAGCCGATTTGCGGCCACGGGAGCGTGCACGGGAGGACTCGTTGTGCATTGCTTTGTAATTTAACAAAAATAACCACCTAGAAATGTTTATTTGTTCGACTTTATAGTAAAAATGTGTCGCAGTTGAATTTTTACTTAATAAAAGCACTTTAATGGTCAAATCAGCTGCATTTCACCGGGGCGGCGCAGCGAAATGAAGATAATTTGACGGTTGCTCCAGGCAAGCTGGACGAATGTGGCTTCTGTGGCAAACAGACTGTGTCATTAATAGCCACTTTTTACCTTTTACTTGACACAGCAGCATGCCATACTGCTCGAGCGCTTTCTAGCGGCTGGAAATGGTAGTGTTCAGTATTTTCAGTCAGAATGAATGAAAACGGTCATATCTTAACCAAAAATTGTTTTTTAAATATGGGTTAAAACAAACAAAAAGAATAAGTTGCTTCGGCGTATAAGTCACAGGGCATGCTATTTATGCAAAAAACTGCGACTTATAGGCCGAAAAATACGGTAAGTGGTGTTCGAACTCATTTTAGTAAGTAGAATTAGTGAAATTTTCTTCTACAGTGCCCTTCACAAATGTTTGGTTGAAACTTGAACTGAAAACTTCTCTAGTAATCGAAACGGGAACGTTTCCTCGTCTGATCAGCCTGGGCTTGGAGTCCTGACTGATGAAGATGATTTCTGTCCAATCATCTGTCACTGCATTAGAATTCAGTTCTTGCTCCAGATACTGGTCTGTGCAGCTTTTATCCTCTTCCCATGGGGGACACATGTCCCGAAGCCCAACCAGGATGCATTATTTATGTCTTTTTAGAAGAATGACAACAAACAACATTTAGTTGCGGTTTTAATCATTCACTGTCGTTTTCTTTTCATCCCTCACGATGCCGTCCTCTCCACCAGACCCTCTTCATGCCTACTTGGGTCTGTGTGGTCTGTCTCTGATCGGAGAGCCCAGCCTGCAGAAAGTCCACCCCGCTCTGAACATCACCCAGAGAGCCTTTCAGCACCTCCAGCAGCTGCAGCAGACGTGGAGGGAGAACAGCTGCAGCGGACTGCACTGACAGCAGGATGATTTAAAGCTGAACAGGTTCAGTAATCCAGACCATCCGTCAGTTATCAGCCGAACTTGTGCTTCTTAAAGACATTTGGCTTCTCAAAATGTTTTTTTTTTTTCTTAAAGATAATGTTGCAACGTTTTAAACTTTGTTGTTTGAAGCCACTTTTCTTTTGTTAATGCCACGCCTCTTTGCTGCCTTTTTCATTAATATTTGTCAATCCCAACGTGCTATGTGGTTTGTGAGAAAACTATAACGTGCCAGAAAGTCCAATTCATTAAAGACTTGAAGACCTTTAAGATGCCTTTGTGTTTAGTTACATAACATATTTACCCATCTCTACAAATGATAGAAAACTTTGTTCAGTTTTTTTTCTTCTGTAAATGTAGGAACTGTAACAACTTCAGGCCTCGAGCTCTTCACTCTCCGCTCATCTCAGCAGGGATGGTGTCTCTGAGCTTCTCGCTGCTACGTCCTCTCGTTTCATCACTGCAGGCTTTTTTGTTTAAAGATCAAAAGATTTAAATAATAATGGAGCCGCTTGGGTGAAAAATTAGTTTAGACATCTGAAACTACCTCAAGGGGCAAATCTGTAACTTGTTTGAAAAAGATTTTAAAATGGATTTAGCAAAGCTCTCATTTTTTTTATTTCTTTAATTCTAAAAATAATCAAATCTGTCCTCTTGTGGAATTCGTAGCGAATTCCTTATTTTGTGGAAATTAAAGCATTAAAGCAGCTGTATTTGGTTCTGACACCCCTGCACTGTGCTCATTCACCTTTTTTTAAATTAAACTCCCTGTACAGTTGTGGCCAGCTGTGGATCTAAAATAGAAAAGATCAGACGATGGCATAACCAGAGGAAATGTTTGTGTTTAGCCTGCACTGGGGGGGGGGGGGTCATTGTTTTCAGTGCAGCAAGGATGTCGAGTGAAACAAAGAACAATGAGCTCAGGTGTACAACAAAGTGTTAGCAGAGTTCCTCTGTCATCTAGATGGTCGCTGCCATTAAAAACCACTTGATTTATTTTAGCTTGAAAATAAAATTCAGGTGAACCACGAGCTGAACTCTGCCTGTACCTCTCTTGCCTTCACGTCAGCTCGTTTAACTCTGAGCAAAGCAACATTTCCAGCTTCAATTATCCCCACACACACTGAATCCACTTCTGTTTCATAACGAGGCCACAACATGAGCAAACACCTGCTCCCTGAGATGACACGAGGAAGAGACGGTTTCAAAGCAAAGCAGAAAATCAGAGAGACAGGCGTCCGCTTCATCTGCAGGAGTTCATCGTGTTTGACTGGATATCGAGAACAAAAAGAAGGATTTGTCTCCCTTTCTGTCGAACTGTGATCTTCTTTTAATGTTTCGCAGGGCAGAAAAGGAGAGAATGTGAGAGGAGAGGTGAATAAATAAATAATCTTAGCCATCAATTATTAAAAGTAAACTGTCGGGACTGGAGTCCCCCTCTTCAAACCCAGACCCCAGCTTTGATGCAACATCGGTTGCTTTTTAAAGACAACGGTTTGTTCTTTTCTTATTCCACCACTTGGACTGGGAAAAAAAAAGCTTTGCAACATTTCCTTTATTTCTGTTTTTCCTAAATATTGTTCCTACGTATAAATATATGCTGTATTTGCTATCGAACCCTTGTCGTGAATTTGTATAATTAATATAATGAGCCATTTTTGCCACTAATTGCAGATTCTGAATTGAATCTCAAACTTGCATAACCTGACGTGTTCGTCATGAACTTCCGGTGCTTTTTAAATATTCTGTTACATAATTTAACAATTTTATGTCAGTGCATCATAATGTTGTTTTTGTTGTCTTAAAACTTTAGTAGCTTGAGTATTTTAAGTCAGAAATTCACAGTAAAGCCAGATCTGTTTTAAACAGGCATCGTTTAATGAAACGTAAAGTTCCCAGATGTCCCCTCGTTTTTTCTTCTTCTTCCAGTTTAGATTGAATAATTCGCCTACGTGCCTCGTGTTGTATTATTTTAAGTTGCTGCTCTTTAAATGCTTTTGTTCTTGGTATTTTTTTGCTTATTTGCTTGAATATTTGTTGAACTTGCACAACCATGTTCAATTCACCTGCTTCTGATCAGGAGGGATTAATACGAGATTAAATCTAGAAATGTATATGATTTTTAAAATGATAGTAATTTAATGCATGGATCTGTCTCTGCAGCAGTTTTCATGTCTTTACTGGAACGTTTCCTTCATTAGTTGAAGTCGTTTTCCACTGCAGACGATGCACAGCTGCAGTAAAAGCTGTGAACAGATTCTGAAATGCACGCAGCCAAAATATCCCACGCAGTCCATCATGAGCGCTTGCGCTGTCGTCAAACACTGCTATACATAATGTATTGAGAAACGATGCAACAAAAACTGTAACTGAATTTATTTTTTCTATGCTTTTTAGGATACAGCGTAAAAAAAAAAAAAGGTAAATGTCTATAAATATGTGACTTCTGCTGTACAAGTGCTCAAGAACAGGAAGTGTTTATCCGTATGATGTCGTCAGAAGTAAATACGCGGATGTTTGTGTGTCACATGTTCTAGCACTTGGGTTTTGACTTTGAACGCAATAACGTTGATTCAAGCTCGGCACGCAAGCTGTATGTATGAAAAATAAAACGTGTTCACTTTTACAGCTGTTTGGTATCTCTGGGTTTGTTTGTCACATAAAGATTGAGGAAAAACTCGGAGTGAAGAGTAAAAATACAAATATGTTAAAGCTTTAGAGTAGAATAAAACCAATTCTTGCTTTTTGCAGGGCAATATTTTGATAGGTAGAGAAAAGAAGTTAACTGGAATGACTAGTTGGTTTTACACAAACTTCTAACGAGAGAGTTTACATTATACTTTGTAACTTTACGTAACAGAAAAAGAAATCTACCTTGTACTTATCAGCAGGGCTTAATTTGTAAACCGATTGATGCTGGAACACAAATAGCAGGCGGGTTGTTGGGGGTCTGGGGATCTTCCCCCAGAAAATTTTGAGTAAAGCAGATGCAATTTCCTCCATTTTGGTGTATTTTAACGGGTTGTTAAACATCGATGTCTATCTAAATTTGTAAAAACTTCGCTTCTATCAAGCATCCTAGCTATTGTTTTGACAAATTAGCACCGTTGTTTTGATACATAATATGAATAATACACATCAAACGGTTCTCTCGTTTATAATAAGTAATCAAAATTTTATTATTGACACCACTTAAACTGCCGAACTGATTTGCAATTTTGTTGTACTGTTTAATTATATTTTTGAGTGTTTTTTAATAAAATTGTGTATTGCCTTTGAACTTATAGGGGCAGGGATTTTTTTTTAGAGTAGAGGCAAAAATGCTTTCTGAAGGGACAGATCGTATGTGATAGAAAGAAGCTCGTAAGTGACTGTTGTGTTTAAAATTAGTGTTTATACAATTATTTTCAGTTTACATATCCACTGTAAGTTTTATTTGTTCAAGTCGATCATATTTGTCCATAACTTTATTATGAGTAAGCCTGAGAGTTACCGGATCCAAGCAAACAGTTACCGGAACGCACCCTGTGTTCCCTGATTCTGTTCCGGCAGGATCCAGCTCAAATTAAGCCCAGGTTATCAAGAATAACACAAGTGAAATGAATAAAATGTTTTGTCTACAATCGTGAGTGTTTTGTACAGAGAGAAAAAAGTAACTTTTCTATCAGAAAATCTCGAAAGTTTAGTCAAATTCAGCTTACCGGTAGTCTTGGATAGAAACTTGTCTTCAGGTCGGCTTTGCTTTTCCCACTGTTCGAAAGGCTCAGAAGACCTCAATGAAAACTTTTTTAAGCAAAAAATTTGCTGCAACAGTTTTTTTTTTTTTTTTACACGGATGCAAACTACGTAATATGTCTGCTTAACATAATTTCAGTTGTCTGATTTTTTTTTCAGTGTTATTTTTTTATTGCGTCTTTCATCAACGATTTATGGTTAGAGTAAATAAAACGATAAGATATTTTTAGTCTGGTTTTTGTGATGGTAATCGGTAGACGGTGATCGTGGGGGAAATACTTTTATTTCAAACAGCTTAGCTTTCAAAACATTTTAACCTCTATGCACCAGATTACCGGTACTTTAATCCTGGCTGCTTCTTCAGCTTTTGAATCTCAGTTCTTCTGTCACTGATTTTGATAAAGAATTTGTGAACAGTTGAAGAGGGATACAAATAATTACCGTATATATACCAGTCGTTTTTCTTGTTATATTTTAAGACGCTAACTAACACTAACTCCTTTACAACACTTTGTGCCACATCGCCAATTTCTGCCTAAGCAGGTATTGAAAGGTAGAAGGTTATAACTGACTATGTTGCGCCAAGCTACCATTTTTACCACACAAGAAAAATACCTCCTGTAGAATTTGAAAAATAAGTTGACAATAAAATAATGTATAAGTTATGTAAGCACAGGGACACTGGAATAAAGGCTTTGACTTTTGAGATGTCAGACATTGAACAAACTTATGAATGGGTCATTCTAAGAAACCAGTCACACAATTAGAAACACGAGTGATTTGATCACAACTTTTCAAAAATATTGCACATTATCTTTAAAATCATCTTTAAGTCAAAACAGGAGTTTCCTTCTTACAAGTTTTCTCTCCTGTATACGTTCATACAAGGGCTCTAAATGAGTGATACATTAGAGAATTCAAATGTTGACGTCTCTCCTTACCACCGTAGTTTCTCAAAGATGGAGCATGTGATTTAGTGACTCTGTTGTTCTTTTTTTATTTTCTATTTTTAAACAAATGGGACAACTGGTTAGCATTTTTCCCATTTTGTCTCTCATTTTCATGCAACGTGGAAGCATTGTCCTCTCTCTTTAGTAGGTCAGTGACTAAGACCTAATTAAAAAGCTGTGGAGGAGGGGAAATTTCACTGATCACACATGGAAGCACATGCACATATCTGTTCCCACCTGGGAGCTCACAGCACCGTCACAGGCTCTACAGTTGGCTCTGACATGGTAATCTGAGCCAAACAAATGTAACGGGCTCCAATTGGGACGATGAGGTCATGCACCATTATTAACACCGAATTAGGCATTTTGCGATTTTAGCGACTAGAGGGCATTTCAAAAAAGGAAAAACTTGAGGTGGAAAGAGATTTCCCTCCACTGAATATGGACTAAATCTGTCTAGAGAGTCTCTCGGAAAACTTATACCTCTCTTATTTTGCATAAAGTCTACAAAATGTCCAGTGAATCTGGTTTGGTAACATCCGATGTTCATTTTAATTGAAACAATCCTGATAGTATGATTTTTTCCCTTATTAAGTTCCCCGTACGGCAGAAGATCTGAGAACTTGAAGCTTTTCTGACATTTTGAGGATCCTGATAAAAAGCTGTTTGCGTCACATTCAAATGCAGCACATTTACTACTTTGATCTGTGTGATGTTGACTCATAATTTTTAATAACCCTTAGACACTGCTGGATTTAACTCACTGACACTGTAAAACATGCCAATCAATGTTATATTAATTATTCAGTTAGGTGGAGAGCGCTCTGGTTTATGTTCCTTTTTATGGGACAGTTAGGGACCATCTTCGCAGATATTACACACGAGCACTGGCAAATTAAAAAACACTACATGAACATAAAATCTAAACTAGAGAAATTACATTTCCTGTGAAAATGCAGTGTGAATGCTTATTGCTGAAGAACTTGCTGAAAAACAGCTGAAATCAGCTAAACAGCTGAAATGTAGGTGAAATGCAAGAACAAGCCTGTTAACAGAAAAAAGAAAGAACACACATTTGTGGAATTAGGTTTAAATAAGCAGAAAATTGGTATACAATTTAGAAAATTACCTTAAAAAAGATTAAATTAACAAAAAAACAATTGCTGAAAAGTTGCTGAAGGCAGAAAGAAGCTTAAACTGCCAGAAGGAAATAGAAGGAGCTGAAATAAGATAAAAATGTAGAATTAGCTGAAAAAGCTCAATTTAGCACAAAACAGCTAAATGATAGCTGAAATAGCAGAAAAAAAACCCCCTGAAAATAGCAATAAAAAACTGAAAGGAGCATAAGCTGAAATTAGTAAAAATAAGTTAATTAGGCTGAAAGAAGCAGAAATGAGCTCAAAACGTGGAAATTGTTTGAAAATGACTAAAATTAGCTTAAAAAAAGGGTAGTTGAACAGGTAGAACTAACCTAAATTAGCAGAAGAAAGCGTAAAGAGCACATGTTTGTCCAGTTAGGCTGAAAGAAGCAGAAATGAGCAAACAAAATGATCTGAAAAAAGATGAAATTATCACAACCCCCCCTCCCCGCTGAAAAGTAGCTAAAATAGGCAGAAAGAAGCTGAAATTAACTAGAAGGAAGTGGCGAGAGCACGATTTTACTGAATTAGGCTGAAAAAAATTGAGTGCAAAAAATGTGGAATTAGCTGAAAAATCTTAAATTGGCATTAAAAACATTAACTGAAATAGTAGGCAAAGCAGAAACTTGCATAAATAAGCTGAAAAGAGCGTAAGAAGCTGAAATTAGCAGAAAGAAGTTGGAAGAAGCACAAAAATGTTGTAGTTAGCAGAAAGAATCTGAAAGGAGCACAAAACAGCTAAAAGTAGCTGAAATAAGTTTAAATTTGCACAAGGAAGCTGAAAGAAGCTGAAGCAGAACAAAAAAATGAAAGGAGCAGTAAAAAGTTGTAAACATATCTAAAGATTTTGAAGGAGGTAAAATGAGCTCAATTCATTTTCTATGAGGAAAAAAAAGTAGCAGAAAAGGCCAAATATCTCAAAAAGCTAAAGTTGCACCAAAACCAAAAGTTATAGCAGGATTTTTCTGAATGAGCTGAACGTTTTGATATTTGATTTGTTGAAATAGCTGGAAAACTGCAGGACAAGAGTTGCGCTAAAAAACGTACAGAAGAAAAATGAATGACAATAGTGCGAATGCTTCATTCACACAATTAAAACGGAATGATTCTTGGACATAAAATAATGATGGTGGGGATTCTTTGTTCAACATGTGGATTATATAACGTTTCAGTGTGATCACTTCAGAACATTAATGCTCTCCTTGTGTAATTGCACCTTTATGAAGACCTTAATTTGTCTTTTTTGAAAGTTCAAGTTTTCTTTTATCCTCTGAGCTCGAGTTCCCACTGAATTGTTTACACTGTTTGCGTAAAGTCTCTTAATTAGCTAATTGTCTTTCACTGAATGGAAATGGTGATGCAATTGAGGATTGAGTAGAACTTTATTTGCATTTTCCAACTCCAAAACCCTGACAGCTTAACAGATTATTACGCAGTTATTTGACCGTTTAGTTGCTTTAATCTGGCCTAAAGGTTTCTAAGAAGATTCAAATCACACCAGTGGATTAGACATTATAATATATTCAGGAAATATTTAGACCTTTTGCAGCAGTGAAGTTATTGTAGATTCAAATAAAGAGTTGAGAAAAAAAAAAAAGAAAGTTGGGACTGGTCCATGTCCCACCACGACAACCTCCTTCTTTAACAACAGTCTGTAACTGAGGAGAGCAGCTGCTGGAGGTTTTGGAGGGGAATGCCGTTCCATTCTAGTCTGATGTAGGATTGTAGTTGTTCAAGTTTCTGTCGTCTTTGCTATTTCATGATGCACCAAATGTTGTGAGAGGTCTGGACTGCAGGCAGGCCAGTTGTTCAGCACCTGGATTCTCAGCCATGTTGTAACAAATGCAGTATGTGCTTTAACGTTATCATGCAAGGCTGAAAAATATGCCATGTTTTATGTCCTGTATATACTTTTCTACATTCATGGGACTTTTCCAGACATGTAAGCTGCCCATACCAAGGACACTGGTGCAACCCCATTAGAGAGGTAGGGTTTGTGGGCTGATAACAGGCTGGTTGATCCCTCCTTTTTTTAATAGAGGGGGACATGACGTTTGTGGTTTCCAAAGATCATTTTTAATTTTGATTTGTCTGACCACAGAACAGTTTTCCACCTCACCTCAGTCCATTTTAAATGAGCTTTGATCCAGAGAAACGGATGGTGTTCACCTTTGCCTTCTTCCTTGCGTGATAGTTATTTAACCAGCGTCCGTGGATGGCACAGTGAACCGTACGTCCAGATGATGACCTGTGGCTGTGTTCCAGTGATGCTCATAACAAAATCAGACTTGTGTTTAATGCAGCACAGCCTGAGGGCCTAAAGAGCACAGCATCCAATACTGACTTTCAGCTTTTCCTTTGAGCTCAGACTCACCCTTTGTTAAAAAAGAGCTGTAGATGATGGAGGCTTGCTGCTCCACCTCTTTCTTTTTCATACCACTTTTACAGCTTTTTGTTGCACCCTGCTCCATCTTTTTAAAATTAACTGCCTCCATCAAAGTCAAAAAGACCATGAATTAAGAAGCACTATTTCTTAGTTTAAACATGTGTACTCTGATCTAAAGTGAATAAAATATGGGTTTATGAGATTAGCAAATCATTGCATTCTGTTTTTACACGTTACACAATTATGGTTCTGCTTGAGATTGGGAATAAACAAAAGGCTTGCAAATGTAACTGGTTTATCTTTCTTTGTCTGCAAATGGCTGCCTTCATTCCCTTTAGAGACAAAGGTCAGCTGTGCTTCATGGCCTTCCAAAGCTGATCTTAAACCTGCTGCACTGATATCAGACCATGTCAGACACTGGGGACCATTTGGAGATGATTAATTGTGTCATACTCCGTTTGCTTCGTGTCCGTTTTTCTCCAACAGGGTGGCCGGGAGGCCATCTGCTGACGCGGAACAAGTGGCATTTGCCAGAAAAAAAAAAATAGAAATACGAACTTAATCCGGGTTCTAGCTGCAGGCCCACACCTCTTCCTAAAAAAATAAGAACAAAGAGTTGGGGATGAGCAGAAATGGGCGCTGCCAGCCATGCGTAAACTTGAACTGATGGCACTGACAGATTCAAGACCTCCCTCCCCTCATCTCCATCTTTTCATTTTAAGATTGGGATTACTCTGGATATTTTTAGCCGGTTGGTAGATAAAACAGGAGGCATTCTCTCAGGGGGGGCTGAGGACAGATGACAGATCGAGTGGATACAAAGAGCTCTGTGCGCAGAGACGTCTCGGCTGAGGGAGATGGTACAGTAATGGTGGGCGGGGCTTCCCCTCACCGGGAAACTGGAGCTTCTTCTGACAGCGAGATGTTCTGCTGGAGGAGGAGGAGAGAGGATGGAAGTGATCCGGGGAGCAGCTCCTGTTTCTTAAAGTCGTCTCCACCGTGAAGACGCAGATCGTCATTTTACGCAGCAGCTCATGTTTACTGGTTCTCCTCTCTCCACGTTCTAATCTGAGGCAGAACCGCTTCGGATATTTAACCATCGTCGTTATCATCACCACCACCTTCATCTGCAGCCATGTCAGACTCCGAGGACATGACGGAGTTCGGCAACATCGTGGAGCGGATCGAGCGGGGCGAGGTGGGTGATCATCCGGATTGTGTCCTGACAGCAGCGGGCTGTCTGTCAGAGAGCAGCCGGCAGCAGAGGCTCCAGGCCGGCCACCACCTCACACTGTGCTATTCTATTCTGTTCTGTTCTGTTCTGTTCTGTTCTATTCTATTCTATTCTATTCTATTCTATTCTATTCTATTCTATTCTATTCTATTCTATTCTATTCTATTCTATTCTATTCTATTCTATTCTAGTCTAGTTTATTCTAGTCTAGTCTAGTCTAGTCTATGCTATTTTAGTCTAGTCTAGTCCAGACCTATTCTATTCTACTCTATTCTATTCTAGTCTAGTCCAGACTAGTCTATTCTATTCTAGTCTAGTCTAGTCCAGAATAGTCTAGTCTAGACTAGTCTATTCTAGTCTAGTCTAGTCTAGTCTAGTCCAGACTATTCTATTCTATTCTATTCTATTCTATTCTATTCTATTCTATTCTATTCTATTCTAGTTTATTCTAGTCTAGTCTAGTCTAGTCTATGCTATTTTAGTCTAGTCTAGTCCAGACCTATTCTATTCTATTCTATTCTATTCTATTCTATTCTATTCTATTCTATTCTAGTCTAGTCTAGTCCAGACTAGTCTATTCTAGTCTAGTCCAGAATAGTCTAGTCTAGACTAGTCTATTCTAGTCTAGTCTAGTCCAGACTATTCTATTCTATTCTATTCTATTCTATTCTATTCTAGTCCAGACTAGTCTAGTCTATTAATTGATAAACTGTGTTGTTGGCCTATTCAAACTAAAATACCACCTGTTCAATTTTTTTCACAGAAGAAAACGAACATTGTGAGTTTAACTAAAAAAAATATATATATATATATTTCCTGCGAAAATCTAGTATGAATGCTTATTGTTGCTGAATGATTTTGCTGAAAACTGCTGAAGAACGCTAAAACTTGTAGCCTATTTTTTGTATATGTTTGATAGCTGAACTGCCACTACTTGTTTAATATGAACAGTTAAAATGCAGCCAAAAAATAGTTGAATGATTTGCTGTTCAATAGTGAGCAAAAGCTAAATTGCTTAGAATTGCTTATTGGTAGCAAACTGCAGCTAGCCAGAAGTAGCAAAATGAGCTAGCAAAAAAGCCAGAAAGAGCTGAGTCAAAAGTATTTTGACTCCACCACATGTACCACATGAGGTGCGAATGACAATAAAGAAACTCTGATTTAAACATCAGCAACAAACGCAGAAAATGCTAGCTTAAAACCAAAAGTAGCAAAACAGCGAAAAAGCATGAAAGGACTAGTTTAGTGCTAGAATTGGCCAAACGCAAATAAAAAGCCAGCTAAGCTAATTTAGAGGCAGAACAATCAAAATGCTAGAGCTACAGTAGAAAAATGCTAGCAAATGAGAAGAAAAAGCTAGTTTAGAATCAGAAGTAGGGAAACGTTAGCAAAAAAGCTGAAAAACGGTAGCTTAGAATCAGAAGCAAAAAAGCAGAAAAGCTAACTTAGAGTCAGAAAAATAAAAAAAAAGAAGCAGCAAAAAAGTAGAAAGATGGTACCTTAGAATCAGATGAAGTAAAATGCTTTTTAAAAAAGAAGAAAATGCTGGCAAAGAGCGAGAAATGGTAAAACGCTAGCAAAAAAGCAGGAAAAAGCCACACCCCCAAAAAAGAAGAACATTTTAAATATATCAATACCAAAAAATCAAAGCAGGAGTGTCCCGAACAAACTGAACGTTTTGATGCCTTAATTGCTACCTTAAAAAATGTGGGACGAGTTAGGAAAAAAAATGTTTGGAAGACTCTTGAATTTAGTGTGGATGCTGTTATAAAGAGAAACAGGACACCTATAGTTGTGTGCTTAACAACATTCACACAATAAAGAGAAACAGGAATGTGGGCCACTTGGAAACAGTGTGTTGAGACTGAGCAGTGGGTTTCTAAGTGTGCGTGTGTGTTTCTATATATGGAAGGACTCCACATGGCCAGAATATGATGATATGATATCTCCCCTCCAAGTTGGCACAGTTTCTCTTTTATTCATGCGTGCATGGAGCTGTGAGGAGGGAAACAAGAGCAGAATGCAGGCAACTGTTTCAGTGCAGCCATATTTGGTGAAATATATATATATATATATATATATATATATATATATAT